CAACACTTTCACGCACTTTGCCCCTTTCCTATTCCGCATCCTACATCCCACATCCCGCACTCGCCCACGGCCACGCCCCCGTTCACTCTTTCTTGTGGTGGCATTGAAAAACCGCTTGAAAGTATGCGCCAACAACAAGTTTTTTACGCAATTAGTGTACAATTTCTTAATTTATACGCTGTCGCCAATTTATCAGAAGCAACACAGGCCGGAGACGGTGATGGAGACGTAGACCCACTGGTTGACGGGGAAGAGGGGGTTGAGCTTGGGTCGGGACGGGACCAAAGTGAAATATTATTATGAGTACGTGTTCGTTCGGGAGCTGTGTTGCCGAGCTGGTGCCGTCGCCGTTGCCGTCGCCGGTGCCGGTGCCGCCCTTAAGTTTTTCCCGTGTCCCCCGAAGGGCTGAAAGGGTTGCCGGTTGGTGTTGGTGTTGGTGTTGCCGCTTCCTGGCCTCTATTTTCCGGGCTTAACATATGCTACTTTGACATAGTTCTTTGGGTCGAGCGTTGGTAGTGAAATATGAAATACTATTTATAACTTGATCAGCCCCGGATGGGTTAGATGCAAAGCAGGGATGACAAGGACTCATTCCCAGTATCTATCACGCTCACATCTCCGATGAAAAGATGGACCGGGCTGGCCTGGATTGGGGGGTGGATTGAAATTAGTCTGTGGTGCGGGGACGAAGCGGGGGCTGGAACGGGGGCGGGAACGGGAATGGGCCTGTGCATGTGGATCTGGCTGTTAATTAAGTTATGATGGCAAACCACAAACATTGCGATGGCTTCTGGTCGTGAGCCCGGGCTCAAGTCCCTGAGATAGGATGGGATAGGATAGGATAGGATAGGATAGGATAGTAGGCACCGCCGTCAGTTTATGAAATTTTCATTAATTTTCGACCACAAGAGAGTTTCTGCTGATGCTGTTGATGTGCCCTCTGACCCTCGGGCTGACAGCAGACGAAAACTTGACGACACAGCAGGAATAAAGGAGGCAGCAGCAGCAGCAGCGGCAGCAGCAGCAGTTGTAATGAAATTTTGCGACATGTATGACAGGACATTCAGTTTCGGTTCAGCTCGGCTCTGTTCTGTTCCGAACTTTTGACAGGCATTTGGAAAAGTATTCTGCGACCTTTCTCTCGCCACCGCCGGCGCTCCTGATGGATGATGACAAATGTAGTGGAACACAAGAAACTTTCCCCTAATTATATGATAATCAAAATCTATCAGCATCGACTCTCATTTGGTTTTTAATTAGCCCGAACAGAAAAGTGGGCCATTCATTCGCAAGATGCGTAATCATCATAACAATGGCATCTCATATCCCCCACATATTTGCAGCTCATTTTGAGGGCCACAGAAGCTGGAGAGGGGAGCAGAGATCTGGGATCAGGAGCCAAGTCATGGCCAACACATGATGCCTCCTTCTGCTCCTCCTCCTGCTCCTGCTCCTGCTCCTGCTCCTCCTTCTGCCATGGCATTTAGCTTTAGCACTGGCATATAATTTAGATTTATCGCTTGATTTTCGCATAAATATCGACCATGTCAAGAGGGTAGAGGGCCCGGAGGTGGTCCTCTTCGTCCTCTTCCACTTTTGTGTGCTCGCTGATGCATAAAGAGGCACTGGGCTCTCTCTGAGTGCCCGGCTCGGCCTAACGACTTGTCGTCCGTCCGTATATGTCTATGGAAGATGTAAAATCCAAATGACATTGAAGGAGTATGTTTGTGTGCGTGCGTGTGTGTGTGTGTGTGTGTGTGTGTGGATGCGTGTTGGGGGCATGAAAGTGTCAGATAATGTCGTACTACATAAAGCCAAAGTAAATGGCAGAAAAAGCATTGGTGATTTTACGTTTTATTGATTTCAGTGCCATTTCAGGAGTCGGTAATGCTCAAAGGCAGATTTTCACGCATAACGGGTTCATAATAGCTTCATGCCCGCCAAGAAATATCCTTGGATAACCATGAACTAAGTGCCCTCAGGACATAACCGGTTCAACACCGTTTCGAAACATACGCCGGATGTTAAATAACCGTTAAGAAACTAGGATTGCCGCTCAACATGCTTCCTCTTGTTGTACAATTGATTTCATATCATCACCGCCATCTTGACACTGATTATGTGCCTTAACACATGACTGCCTCCTGGCATATTCGGCCTGCCTGGAAAAATGCGTAAAAAAGAAAATATCAACAGACCATTTAGCGCTAAATACACAGCAAGCCTGGACACGGACGCACGGGACATCCCCATTGGAGATTTTTAGCTCCCCAGAGAAGACTGGGTGGCGGGTGGGGGGGGGGGAGGCACTGTTGGTGTCCAAAAATTAACGCAAAATCAAAGTAAAAATGCGATAAATTGGCGACGACAAGCGCAACGCGGAGAAACAATAGCAACAACCGCCTGGCGATGATGGCAACGTTGTCCCGCGCTTGAAATGAGCGAAAATCGGTGGAGCATATCAAATTGAAATACTCCAAGACAACGCCGGGGATGATGGTATGATGAAGGGAGGATGCTCTGGTTCTGGTACCCACTTCTCTCGAGGCAAGACAGAAACAGAGAGACACAGAGGTAGAGAGGTAGACAGAGAGAGTGAGATTGTGGCGCGTGATACTTTTGCGTATCCCAGTGACACACAAACACATAGAAAGAGAGATAGAAACAGACACCCACGCACAAAGAACCGAAAGCAAAAAGCGCGTAGCAAAAATATCAGGGGAAAAAAAAAGAATAACAGCTACAATAATAACGCTTGAACGGAGTGGCATCTCGTGGCATGGGGGGGGGGGGGGGGGGGGGGGGGAGGAGAGGGCCAGATGGACAGGCAACGGAGTAGACGACATTCATTGCTGCTTTGGCAGGTTGTTAGGTTTCAGACCCTGTCAAGGGCGCAGATTGTTAGCAGCTTGAATGAATGACTGACTGAACGCAACTGAACTGGACTGAATCGAGCTGACTATTGATGGATTTGGGCGTATTAGCTGGAAGATTAACAGCGCTGGTCGCTCCCAGCCACAAATTGGTGTGTTTCCACTTGTTTCAAGCCCGGCTTAGAACCGATGAAAGCAACCATCAAAAGGGGTTTCCACTCATGAACACTTCCATTCCCGCTCAAAAACTATTCAGGACTTCTATTTACTTGTAATTGTAGTCAGATCCTGATCAAAAACTGTCCGCAATCGTTAGAAAATAGCTCGTTTGAATGATTAACATCTGGCATTATCGTCTATCGTAACTCTTAGTTCTATCACCCACTCTCTGAGCCACCGTTGACACCAGTTATCCATTGTGACTTCAAGACCAAAACTGTGTCTCAACTAAGATGGAAACCCCCTGCAAAAATAAGGCCGGAAACCGGAAAAATAAAAAAAAACCAAGCCGCGCCCCAAAAACTTGGCTCACATCACATTCGATGCCTCGCAGATGTTTTTCTTGTTGCTGTTTTTGTTTTGTTGCCGGCTTTAAGCAACGCACAAAAGGACCCCTTCTCCACTCCCCACTCCGCACTCCCCACTACCCGATCTGCTGTTGTAGTTCGGGGAAAATTGTTGCGTTTCGCATATTAATTTCTTCCTGTCTTGAACATCAGCATCAGCATGAGCTTCATAATGATGTATTTTGAAAACATTTCGGTGAATGGAGTGCCGGAGATAGTCACTATCTATCTCTCTTTAGGCTCGGCTCTCTTTAGTCAGTGCGGTTCTCTCTCAGGTGCTCTTATTGGCGTAGCTTTCCAGCCACGTTTTCTGTGTTTGCTTTTTGGCAGCACAAAAAAAAAGGAAAACTGTTACCCAGCCTTAATGATATATATTGTGAGTCATGTGTTTCATAAATACAAGTATTCAAGCGATGATTAGGAGCGCTTTTCCAGTCAAAACAGAAAACGCAAAAACAAACGGAGAAACGGGGAAACGGGGAAAACGCACATGTTTTTAGCTGTACGCTCTCCTCTCTCTTCTGCCGAACGCCTCGTCATAACACCCCACTCTACCGCAACTCACCCAACCCCCACTGTAGGCACAGTCCAGCCAGCCAGTAAGCCCGGCACATGGCAGCCACGCGCTCTGCTCTCGCGCTCTCCCACTCAGATGCATTCCGCTCCACTATACAAAACACCTCACATATCTAAGGCGCAAGCCGCTAGCCGTCTCGCTCGCTCTCTCGCCGCAAACGAGAGAGAGGGAGTGACAGAGCGAGAGAGAACGCACCGCGAGTGAGAGAGCAAAGGCTGCGCGTGCTTCGGCTAGCACGAGTGGGTCGGTTGGGTCGGTTGGGTCGTATATTTTCCCTTTAGGCCTTGTTGTATTTTCCAGCCTGTGTGCTCTGTGTGCCGCTATTCGGTCTTCGTCGTTTTCTCTTCCCCTCCATTCTTGGTTGTGTTTTTGTTATGCTCTGTAATGGATGGGAGAGTATACGATTTTGTCTTGAGAAATGCCCCAAGAAAAGGGTTCTATTATAGTTTTTTCCAAGATATCCATCGAATGATAATAGTTTCCAACACAACAACGGTTCGCAAAGGGACTTTTTCTTATCAGTTACTTATCGAGGACCCGACACGCGACACCCGACACCCGACACCCATCCTGCCACCCAGATCTTGCTCTTAACTTCCGAACTTCCTGCTGCTTGTTTTCGTTTGACATCGAACCGAACGAGCCACGCAGCACACATGCTCGAACGTTCGAACGTTTGGATGTGTGGGTGTTGTGGGTGGGATGGGTGGTGCATTGTTGTTTACCGCTACGTACTCGTCCATTGCCGGCTGTGTTGGGCTGTTGCGTTCGCTAGTTCGAATTGGTCGGATGTGTTGTAAGTTCGTTGGTGTTCGTTGCCGTTCGGTGTTGTTCGCCTCGGTTCGTGGTTCGCTTCGTTTCGGTTCGGTTTGTCTTTTGGGGTTCTTCTCGCCTTCGAAAGCGCCGTCCTTCTTCAGTGTTTTCACATTTTCACGTACAGTTCAATCGTGAGGTTCAGCCTAGTGAGTTCTGTGTAGTTAAGTCGGAATATTTCGTATAGTTCTCGTCGACTGTCGTCTGACATTTGTTCTTCTATTCTGAAACGCTGCATTGAAATACAAAAATAATACAAACTAGAATATTCAACAAAACAAAAAACCAAGGAAACGAAAAACCAATTAAAATTTTAACAAAATAATAACTCGCTTCAAAATATATTGCAAATATATCAACAAATTTAATCAAATCAAATTCACCAACAAATCGAAAACAAACTCTATAAATTCGTTTACTCAAAAACCCAAAAACACAAAACAACCAAAAACCGATTCAAATATATAACTGTTAAATCTGTAAGCAAGGGCAATTACTACTAAGATCATCCTCAGTTCACGCTCAAAAGTATTTCCCATAGCTCACAGCACACACATAAAGCAGTTCCCGAATCATCCCAAGCCGATTTCAGATTTCAGATTTCCGATTTTTGTTCTGTTTCTCTTCTGTTTCTGTACCAACTCTCATCAGCGCCTCATCGACATTTGCTCTCAAAATAGATCGACTGCCATCATAAACAAACCCAAAAATAATTAGAAATAATTGGTAAACAAAAGGCCCAAATAGAACTGGAAAAAGAGCAGATCTCGGCTGCCGATCAGGTTGTTTTGCTCTCTTTTTGATGGGGCTTACTTTTCCAAAACACTTTTTCCTCTCTGTTATTTTTTGTGTCTTCTATTTTTTCCAATTTTCCTACATAAACAAACAAACGGAAAATTGTTTCACGCTCGCAGCACACGAAAACATTTTCAATTAAAATGCTGGCCCAAAAAGCAAACCAAACCAAACCAAACCCAGAGTAGAGAAAATGCTTCTCACATCGAATTTGAATATTTTGAGCATTCCATAATTTCATTTTCATTTCCATGGCATTCCTCCGATTCCGCCGATTCTCCAGCACTCGACAGACCAGAGAGATCCCATTGAAACCATTTTTGCCAAAAAAAAAAAATCAGTTTTGTTTGCCGTATTTTTTGGATTTGAAGTGCGATTGCCTGGCTGCTCGTTCTCCCAATACAAAGATAAATGTACATGCATATGAGCCCAGTGTATATTTTCGGTAGCATTTGTACGAGTATGGCCATGTTAATTGAACAGGCATTGCTCTTAATGATTTTTGGCCAACAGAGCATGATTTTTGGTTCTATGGCCTGGGACTTTGGCCTGTGCTTTCTGGAAATACTATGCGGAGTATTTTCGGTTGGTTAAAATATTTTATGGCCGCTTTGATGTGGCCCGATTGGCACACATTAAACTAAATTATTTGCCTGGCCAATATTGGAACATTTCTGCCTCTCAACGAGTGTTAAAATGGTCCTAAATGACTTTAACAATTTCTAATAGTTTTCTGGGGGCTTAGGAAAAGAATTTACATTTTTCAAAGATTTTTTTAAGTGCAGTTCCTTACACATATTCTTTCATTTTCTTGTTCGACTGCTCATGTGTGTCTTTGGTTGTTTGAAATATTTTGCTGGTAAACGGCTTGAAATAATATTTATTTTTTTTTTAATTTTTTTTACATTTTTAATCTAGTGCTGGAAAATATTGTCAAATTACACTCGAAATTCAAAGTGCAGTGCTTGGAAATGATTTTTTTTTTAAGTGCAGTAAAATGTACGCTCAAACATTTTTTTAAATATTTTTTTAGAGTTTTGAAAAGCAATGCAATTTCAATGAAATCATTTCTTTGACTGGTTTTCCAAGAATAAATCCATGCATTGAATAAAAACAATAACTAATTTGCTTTGCCAAAAACAATAAACACCAATAAATATTTACCCCGAAAATTGTGCAAAGTGTTTCGGATTGGATTTATTTCCTCCGCCTTCAGCACCGGGCCATGCCCCACCTCATTTCCAAGCAATTAAACACGAAACGCTTATCTAAATACGTACGTATCCGAAAAAAAATTATTTCAAACCGACTGTACCTGAAAAGCGCTCCGAATTACCCATGCTTACACCCGACACGAAAAAAACAATGAAATACAAATTTTAATTCGATTTTAGAAACGAGCAGGCGATCTACTGGGAAGCGAGAGAGGAAGGGCATCAGCAGCAGCACTACTACACGCGTGTGTGTTTAAATACTGGAAAATACAGATAAGATAAATTATTATAGACACTCACGAGTACATTTAGAGCAGACCAAACCCAGAGACAGACAACCGCAGAGAATCAAAAGCACTCCAAGAGCAAATCAATAAAACAAAAACAAAACCCAAACAACAAAAAAAACAACAACAGAAACAACAGAAACAAAGAGAAAAAGCAACTCAAAAAAAAAAATTTTAAAAAAAGTGTTACCAAAAAACCTTCAAAAAAAAAAAAAAATTATTTAAAAGACAAAACCCGTACTCGTAACGGTGCAGACAACTGAAAATACCCAGTGAAAATTCAGAAAAGCGTTGACCATTTTTTCTCGCAAAGGCGCCACGTCCAAGAGCAAATCGTTCCATATGGTTCATATTATTGAATTGGTCGGCCAGCCGAAGGTTGAGTTTGCTCAACAAGTTACTGTGAGTATCAAATCGAGAGTGGAATGAATTTCCACACCATAAGCAGCGGGCAGAAGTGAAGAGAGTTCAGGAACCAGGAGAGTGCAGAGTGCAGAGTGCTGTGTTCTGTGTGCTGTGTGTGTGGTATGTGGTGTGTGGAGTGTGTGGCGCGGTCCCGGAGAGAGGACAAAATGATAATAAATCTTCTTGTCCGTAGAGTCACGTAATGACAACTTAATACAAATACATATGCATACATGACCGCACACACACACACTAACGCACTTTTTATTATGTTGTTGTGACGCTTTCCCCCCTCTCTCTCTCCATTTCTACGCTCTCCTCCGCCTTTTTCTCTTCCCCAATATCTTTTTTTTGGCTTTGCTCAACATATTTTGACAATTAATCATTCGGCTGTGTGTCTGTGTTTCATGCATGTCCTTTCTGTATGTGTGCCTGTGTGATATTGTATTTTTTCTGGTGGGAAATTCAAAATCAGTGTGTGTGTGTGTAGGTCAATGTGACTCTCACTTTGGCCGTCTGCCTCTCTGGGCCATTAACACGCCGCAATCTTTGCACTGGCCAACATCTGCTGGTGTTTTTGTTATGACTGATTAATTCTCCTGCTCCTGTTCTGGAAAATATGCAGTTTTTAGAAGGGGGTTCAAATTGGAGAAGATCTTTATTTTTAGCTGATTTTTGAAAGCTTGGCTTCACATTAAAGTGTGTTGTGAACTTCTTAGGGAAAGTCATGAAAATGTTGATACAGAAATATACAGAAGGAAGAAAATATGCAGGTTTAAAATAAATTTCAAACTATTTAACCATATTTAGAGGTCAAATAATACAAGCACTTCAAAAGTACTTTGCTATGCTTTTAAATTCCCAGTCAAACTTGTTACAGAACTATTAAATCAATTTAGTTGAACGCACTTTGAACAGTTTCAGCCTCTGAGAATATCTAATTTCGTCAGATTCCAAGTCGTCAAACCACTTTTCATACAAAATACATATCATCGAAACCGTTATGTGCCACATAATAGGAGGGAACATCCTACATTCCTAAGTGAAACATATGGCTCCGATAACCATTATCTTTAACCTACATATTGATTTATCCACTGGCTTTTCCCTTTGCCTGTTCCTCGCTGCTCTCCCTCTCTCTCTCTCTCTTAAAGTTGTCAACCAGCTTTGGGAAATTTTCGAAAAACTTAACTTCTAATCGGATTTACATTTATTTCAGTTGCGTTACGGTCCGCTCTATCTGTCTCTCCCCGTCTCCCCGCCACCCTGTCTCCTTCCTTCTCTTCATCTGTCTGTCTGTCTGTTTCACTTTCAGCTGACTGCTTTATCACATGTTGTTGGTGTTGTCCGCTTGTCACCCTCTTTACAGTTATTCACTCTACGCTCTACGCTCTATACTCTATACCCTATACTTCTTTATTCTTTATTCTTTATTCTCTATTTTCTGATTTTATTAGAGAGAAAAGTCTGTTACTTGGGAGGATATTGCGTAAATTTCATTGTGTATTTCAGTTTTATGGTGGTGGCTGTCTAGGATCGGGTGCAAGTGCTACCATCGTCGCATGGGGATGGTATGGGGTGGCATAATGTCACAGGAGGGGGGCGTTTGTGCGTGCGGCGTTAGATGACGTCGCCGGCGTTCTTTGTTGTGCTTTGTGCGTGCGTCCCGAGTCCTGTGTCTCTATGTCTCTATGTCTCTGTATCCTGGTGTCCTCGTGTCCTGGCCCTGTTCCTCATCCACCACCCACTCACTTCCTACTTATTCCAGTTCTGTCTGTTTTTACATTCATCCTTGACAGGGGATGTTCGCCCCGTCTCTGTCCCAGTCCCTGTCCCTGCCTCTTCCCTTCTCTCCTCTCCCCTGTTTATTTCTATAATGAAACATGCGTTCTCTGTTGCTTTTTCTGGTGAAGATACTCTCTCTCTCTCTCTATTTCTCTCATGCCCTCGTTCTCTTCCTCTATCTATGTCTCTTCTCTTTATTGTTGTTCAATATTTTTGTGCCACTTGTTTTGAATTTTTTCACATCCCTTTGCTGCTGGCATTACGTGTTGGCTAACTCGCTCGTTAAATGGTTAAGTGGAGCAAAGTCGTTGACACAGTTCTTGGGGTCCTTTCTCCCTTCCATTTTCAGAGCAGTGCGATTGCATTTTGGGCTATGACTCAGACACGAACTTGCTTTTTAAAGTTTTATTTCTCGGTTTGCTAGTAAGTCAGTTTTTCCTTTGTCATTCAGAGATACCGACAAAGGAAGAGAGACAGGACCCAGGGGCGGGGGAGCCTTCTAAGTACAATGAATGACACAGAAAAGTTGCCAGCTAAGACATTTCCATGCAGGAAAGTCGTATAATTTGGTACAGAAAATGTTCTTAAATGGAAAATGGCACAGGGAAACCTTATAAAAAAGTTTTGTATGGAGAAACGAATAGTCACTAATAGAAAGAATCCCTACAGATGAAGATATGGTGTTATCTGCAAGGATTCTGCAAAGTATGCAATTTATTGATTATTCAAGTAAAAGAGCCTATAATTTGTGGCTTCCGAGGATAGAACTAGACTAGGCTTTGTGGCTAGAACAGTAGATGATACTTTAATGTCTGTACAGTTTGCAAAAAACTACAAAACTAATCTCAAATATCTTCCAGCTTGCATCTCTCCTCTATCCCCTTGAAATCCCTCTCTACCTCTCCTAATTGTGGCTCCCATCAATCCTCTTTCATCCTCACCTATGTGTACCCTTCAAACATTCTTCTGCTTCACTCAACGCCATCGCCATCTCTATCACCATCTCCATCGCCATCCTCAGCTCCGTGTAGTAGGCACTCCCTGCAGCACTTGGCACAATCATACACTTAATTTTCCACTTCATTTCATAATTTTACCCTTGAAACCAATAATCTTGAACGGTGCCTGGCCACATGCCACACAAGGAGAGAGTGGAGACCGGAGACCGGAGACCAAAGGAGCCTTGTCTCTGTCTTGTCAGCCGCTGGCATAATTTACCTTTTGACATGCCACTCCCGACTCGCTGCCCACCTGGGGGCGCATTCAACAGCGCCGTGGCACACATACTCGCACCCACTCTTCGGGCGTACGCCTGCGAGTGCTATTAAATTACATGCCACTGCAAATTACTTGGGAAAACAAAGCGGTGAAAACAAAAAAGAAAACAAAGAGCCAGCGCCTTGACGTATGCAACAATAATAATAACGGGTTGCGGTCGCCTTTTCCTCGACTTTTGCTTCTTGCCTTCCTTGCCTTTGACTTCGCCCTCGCCTGCCCGCGCCATTGTTATGCTTGGACTTGTGTTTTGTAAGCCGTCAAGCATTTACATACCATTAAGAGGGGGTCCGATGGGGGAAATTGGATGGCGAAGCGTGTAAATATTGAAAAGCGCCAACGCCTTTTGTTGGCTTGCTGGTAATTGCCTAAGTCGGCAAATTGGCCCAAGTCGGCCTAATCAACATAAATACTGCCCAAAGAGCGGGTAAAGAAACAGAAGTGGAAAGTCCTCTCGCGGGGCGAAGAATTGGAAATAAAAACAACCAGAACCGGGAGCTGGAAATTGTAAGCTCTCTTTCGATATAAATATTTGATATTTGATAAAAGAACGAAACATGTGGTATCCAGAAGGGAATAAAATAAAATAAAAGCTTAAAAGTTACTAACAAAATTTCAGGATTTTTGAATGGATTGCAAATCATTCTTGAAACGCGTTGGTTCTCTGTTGTAAAACCACATTCGACTTTTCCAATCAATTCGATTAATTTGCACACCTTTGCCGCCCCCAAAAAAAATTCGTTTTACGACTCATTTGGTTAGTTCTAATGAGAGCCTTTCTGGAACCCAATAAAGTAATGCTCGACTGCAGTAATTTGGGTTTTTATGATGTATGCTCGGAGCCACGCGCCTGGCTCTGGCTAAGGCTTGGAGACTCTTGATTATTATAGGTGACAGTTTTATAGCTTTGTTAACAGGGAACAGGGGAACACGGAGCAGAGAGCAGAGAGCTAGCCGACTGCACCCTCCCCTGGAAAAGTGCCACAGCCTCGCCCACATTCCCTTTTGCTTTCTTTTGTTGTGCTTGGCATGTTTAGCGCTGATTATGCTTTGTGCCAGCAACAGCAGGAAAAACTCACCCCCTGAAAATGAGTGGCAAGGAAAACTTATCGCAACAGGGCAGCGAAGGCGCTGCAGAGTGGCGCGCGGTTGAGGGTGCGGGCCTGTTCGGGGCATTGGAATTACTTGCGTGATTAACGCACACCCCCGAGCGTATCCATCGCCCCTGGTGCCCACGGCGCCCACGGTGCCCATGGCGCCCCCCTCCTTGGGGTATTATCTATGGCTGCCCGCCTTAATTGTGGGTCTTCCATCTGACTATCGATCCATTTGCGATTCCATTCAATTCGATCATCGTAATGAGGCAACTTCAAAAGCTGCACAGCTCATTAGGTTTCCCTATATATTGTATATTGTATTGTTGCACGAGTATTCGAGCACTCGTAAATATATACTCGCATTTATATTAGTTATACATTTTCCGACTCATCTCCGATTTCCTTCTCTTCTCTTGATTCGCTTTTCCTTTGGCTTCTGCACGTTTTCCTTTCTTTTGTTTATGGCTTCTCAAAATAGCTGAATCGAAATGTAAACAAAAGCGCAAAAAAACACCAAAAAGCAGCGGAAAACCAAAAGAAAATCTCACAGTTCACAGACGCAGATGCGTGCGTCATGTGAACACAATTTCCAGATGCTTGCCTTTTCCTCTCTCTCTCTCTCTCTCTCTCTCTCTCTTTATCTCTCTGTATCTGAGTATGTGGCAGGGGAAGTGCGAGGGTGGTGGCGCCTTCATCCGTATAAATTTTGCATAATTTTTTTAATGTATTTCTCCAAAGTGCAAAACCGCTTGAAGAGGGCTTCGGCTTCGCTCTCTTTCGATTCAGATTATTATTTATGTGGCGCAACAGATTGTTTTTCTCTACTATACTATATTCTAT